GCGCACGCGGGCAGCGGACAGCCCAGACGCGCCGCGGCTGTCCCGCTGCCGGCGTCCTCAGAGGCTTTGCTTCCCGTCTCCCTGGTCTGCTGGTCTCCAGCAGACCAGGGAGACGGGCAGCAAACCCCGTTCGTAACTGCGGATCCGACATAAGTCGGATCCGTGTAACTCGGGGACTGCCTGTATATCAGAAATTATCCCCTCAAAATCTCCACTGGGAAGAATGACTCAGGGCTACCATCTCCCTCATGGGAAGGAGGAGTTGCTGAAATTAAAAAAACATGGGAACATCCCCCAGACCCGAGAGGATTTTTAAATTGACATTTCATAATGACATGGAAAAAGAACAAATCTGATATTGCCAATCTCCTATTCACCAATGGGGGAGAGACACAAGGAATTTTGGATCCATTTTCTGATATTAAGAGAGGAAAACAGGGAAAGATATGGGATTTTATATCAACAGCTACATAGGTAAAGGACTAACATTGGGGTGAACAGCTTCTTCATATTTTATAAATAGAAAATGGGCAACATTTGTGAGAATTCTGTAGCAATACTCAAGACAAGGGCCAAATCTGGGGACATTCTCTGTTAATCATACATTAACACTATCGAGACAGGGAACAAGCGGATGCATATAAAATCAGTAATGGATAAATGAAAAGAAAAGGGGGGAATGTTAGTGTTTTTTATATAAATCTTTGATCTGGCCCCTCCCACCAGAACTGACCCTACCAAAGCTTTCTTATTAGGGTTGCCAGATACATTGAGGGCAACTACAATGATCAGAGGTTTGGAAGAGGTCCCATATGAAGAGAGGCTAAAGAGACTGGGACTTTTCAGTTTAGAAAAGAGGAGACTGAAGGGGGATAGGATAGAGGTCTATAAAAGCACGAGTGGGGTGGAGAGGGTGCATCAAGAAAAGTTCTTCCTTAGTTCCCATAATAGAAGGACTGGAGGACACCAAAGGAAAGGAATGGGTAGCAGGCTTCAAACTAGTAACAGAAAGTTCTTCTTCACAAAGCAAAGAGTCAACCTGTGGAACTCCTTGCTGCAGGAGGCTGTGAAGGCTAGAACTAGAACAGAGTTTAAAGAGAAGTGAGATAAAGTCATGGAGGTTGGGTCCATGGAGTGGTATTAGCCAGAGGGTAGGAGTGGTGTCCCTGCCCAAAGTTTGTGGAAGGCTGGAGAGGGATGGCATGAGACAAATGGCTTGGTCACTGTCTTCGGTCCATCCCCTCCAGGGTCCCTAGGGATGGCCGCTGTCGGCAGACAGGCTACTGGGCTAGATGGACCTTTGGTCTGACCCAGTACGGCCATTGTAAGCTCAGGGCTCAGGGTCGGGGGTCTCAGTGGACCATCTTGATTTTCATGCA